ATCCCTAGTACTTATTTATTTTACAACTGGAAGTTTGTACTTTTTGACTACCTTCATCCAATTCCCCCTACATCCACACCCCACCTCTGGTAAGCACAAATCTGATCTCTTTTTCTATGAGTTTACTATTTGTTTTTGAATTATAATTGACCTACAACACTTTGTTAGTTCCTAGTGCACAACATAGTGATTTAATATTTAATGTAATTTAATAATACCCTTCAAAATGATCATCACAATAAGTCTAGTTACAATCTGTCACAATACAAAGATACTACATAATGATTAACTACATTACTCATACTGTACATTTCATACCCATAACTGGAAATTTGTACCTCTTAATTTCCGTCACCTATTTCTCTCAATCCCCAACACTCCTCTTGTCTGGCAACCACTTATTTGTTCTCTGTATCTGTGACTCTGTTTCTGTTTTGTTATGTTTGTTCCTTTGTTTTGTTTTTTAGATTCTGTATATAAATGAAGTTGTCCTATAATTTTCTTTTTGTGATATCTTTATCTGGTTTTGGAATCAGAATGACGCTGGCCTCACAGAATGCATTTAGAAGCATTACTTCCTCTGCAATATTTGGAACAGTTTGAGAATAAATGTTAACACTTCTTTAAATGTTTGGTTGAATTCACCTGTGAAGTTGGTTTTGGAATTTTGTTTTTGGGAGGTTTTTTTTAAATTACTGATTCACCTTCACTACTAGAGATCAGTCTCTTCATATTTCCTATTTCTTCCTAATTCAGTCTTGGGAGATTGTACATTTGTAGGAATTTGTCCTCAACTCATTCTATGAGATCAGCATTGGGAAGATACTAAAGCTAAAGTTACAAGAAAACTCGGGAATATGGATACAAAAACCCTCAACAACATTCTAGTACAGAATTCAGCAGCATGTTAAAAGAATTACACACCATGACCAAGTAGGATTTATTATTGGAATGCAAAGATGGCACAACATATGGAAAATCAATCATCATAAAACATCACATTAATAAAGACATAAAGCTGTGTAATCCCAATTTTTGAAGCAAAACATATTAAAAAATTCAACACCCTTTCATGATTAAAAAAATGCAAAACAAAAAACAGTAAACCATAAACCAGTAAAGAAAGAAAACTTCTAAACATAATAGAAGCTATATTTGAAAAACCGACAGCTAACATCATACTCAATGGTGAAAAACTTAGTGTTTCCCCTTTAAGAACAGGAAATAAGAAAAAGACATCCACTTTTCCCACATCTATTCAACATAGTCTGGGAAGTTCTGATCAGAGCAGTTAGGCTAAATAAAGAAATTTTAAAAAAATAAATAAAGAACCCAAATTAGAAAGGGAAAATTATCTTTCTTAATAAGTAACATGAAATGATCTTTATTTATAAATGACATGATCTTATATGTAAAAACCCCTAAAAAGTACCATAAACTGTTAGAGCCAACAAACAAATTCAGCAAATTTATAGAACATAAAATAAACAAACAAAAATCAGTTTCTATACACTAGCAATGAACAATTCTAGAAGGAAATTAAGAAAATAATTCCCTTTATCATATCAAATTAATAACATACTTAGGAATAAATTCAGCCAAGGGGGCAGAAGACTAGTACAGTGAAAATTACAAACATTGCTAAAAGAAATTAAATAAGACACAAATAAAAGGGAAGACATTTTGTGTTCCTAGACTGGAAGATTTAATATTGTCAAAATGACAGTTCTACCAAAAACTATCTACAGATTCAATACCATATCTATCAAAAATTCAGTGGCATTTTTTGCATAAGTTAAAAACCGATCAAAAATTCACATGGGACCTCAAGGGACCCAAAATAACCAAAACAATCTTGAAAAAGAACAAAGTTGGAATGTCGACATGTCCTGATTTCAAAATTTGCTACCAAGGTACAATAATTATAAGAGTATGGTGCCAGAATAAAGACAGACATAGATGAATGCAATACAGAGCCCAGAACTGAATCCTTAAGTATAGTCAACTGAGTTTAAACAAAGGTGCCAAGACCATTCAGTGAGAGACGTGTTCTCAACAAATGGTGTTGAGAAAACTAGATATTCCTAAACAAAGAATGAAGACGGGCCTTACATCATATACAAAAATTAACTCAAAATAAATCAAAAGCCCAAATTTAGGAACTAAAATGAAAAATCTTAGAAGAAAACATAGGGGGGAATCTTCATGACTTTGGATTTGGCAATAACTTATTGGACATTGCAAAAGCACAGGAAACAAAAGGAAAAAAGAGATGCTGTTAAGAAAGTGAAAAAAAACCTCACAGAGTGTGAGAAAATATTTAAAATAATCTATCTAATAATATATAAAAGTCCTATAATGCAATAAAAATAAGCAACAAGCAAATTCAAAAATGAGCAAAGGGTGTGTATAGACATTTCTTCAAAGGGGTGGGTATACAAATGGCCAATAAGCACATGAAAAAGATGTTCAACTCACTAGACACTAGAGAAATAAAAGTCAAATCCACAATGAGATACCATTTCACACCCACCAGGCATTACCAAACTAACAGAAAATAAACAGTGTTGCTGAGAATGTGGAAATTTTGGAAATCTCATATACTGCTGGTAGAAATGTAAAATAGTGTACAGTGTATTAAAGTTTGATGATTTTTCAAAAAATTAATTGTAAAAGTACCATTTGATGCAGCAGTTTCACCCACAAGTAGATACCCAATTGAATGAAAAATGAACTCATATACTTGAGCACCAACGCTCACTGCAGCATTATTCACAACACGCAAAAGGTGGAAACAACCCAAATGTCATCGACAGATGAATGAATAAATAAAATGTATATACTTGCAATAGAATGCCATAGCTTTGAAAAGGAATGAAATTCTGATACATGCTGCAACATGAATGAACCTCAAAATCCTCATGCTAAATGAAGTAAGACAGATACAAACAGACGAATATTCTAATTCCACTTATATGCGGTATGTACTAGAGGCAAATTCATAGAGATAGAAAATAGAATAAAGGTTGCCAGGTGCTAAAGGAAGGAAAAATGGGGAGTTACTATTTAAT